CTTCTTTACAGGAACAATAAAATTGGTGAGAAACGGGCTATTTATATTTTGCACGTCCCTAAGAGAACGCATCTACCGACATACGGGATGCTAGCAACTTTACGGTTTATCTGCAAGTACTCTATTAAAATTTATTTAATTTAGTAGTAGTAGTAGCAGTAGTAGTAGTCGTTTTTTTTTTGAATTTTTATTTAGTAGTAGAATGGATTTTTTTATTTTTGGATTTTTTATTGGGATTTTTTAATTTTTGGATTTTTAATTTTTGGATTGTTTAATGGGATTTTTTAATTTTTGAATTTTTTAATGGGATTTTTTAATGTTTGAATTTTTAAAATTTTGGATTTTTAATGGAATTTTTGAATTTTTTAAATTTTGGAGTTTCTAATTTTTGGATTTTTAATTTTTGGATTTTTAAATGGTTTTTTAATTGTTGAATTTTTTAATTTTCGGATTTTTTAATTTTTGGATTTTAATGAGATTTTTAATTTTTGGATTTTTTAATGGGATTTTTTTAATTTTTGAATTATTTAGATTTCGGATTTTTTAATTTTTGGATTTTTTAATGAGATCTTTTAATTTTTGGATTTTTTAATGGGATTTTTTAATTTTTGGATTTTTTAATGGGATTTTTGGATTTTCAAATGGTTTTTTAATTTTCGGATTTTTTAATTTTTGGATTTTAATGAGATTTTTAATTTTAGGATTTTTTAATGGGATTTTTTTAATTTTTGAATTATTTAGATTTCGGATTTTTTAATTTTTGGATTTTTTAATGAGATCTTTTAATTTTTGGATTTTTTAATGGGATTTTTTAATTTTTGGATTTTTTAATGGGATTTTTTAATTTTTGAAATTTTTAAATTTTAGATTTTTTTTGGATTTTTTAATTTTTGAATTTTTTAAATTTTGGATTTTTTAATTTTTGGATATTTGATTTTTGGATTTTTTTATGGGATTTTTGAATTTTTAAAATTTTGGATTTTTATTTTGGATTTTTTAATTTTTGAATTTTTTAAGTTTCGGATTTTTTATTGATTTTCTAATATTTGGATTTTTAATTTTTGGATTTTTTATTGGGGTTTTTTAATGTTTGAATTTTTTATTTCGGATTTTTTCATTTTTGGATTTTTTAAGTTTTGAATTTTAATTTTCGGATTTTTTAAATTTTGGAATATTTAAGGGGATTTTTTTAATTTTGGATTTTTTAATTTTAGGATTTTTTAATTTTTTGGATTTTTTAATTTTTGAATTTTTGGATTTTTTAATTTTTGATTTTTTAATGGGATATTTTAATTTTAGGATATTTTAATTTTTGGATTTTTTTAATTTTTGAATATTTGAATTTTTTTATTTTTGGTTTTTTTAATATTTGGATTTTTTAATGGGATCTTCTATATTTTGGATTTTTTAATGGGATTTTTTTAATTTTTGGATTTTTTAATATTTGGATTTTTTAATTTTTGGATTTTTTAATTTTTGGATATTTTAAATTTTGGATATTTTAATTTTTGGAATTTTTAAATTTTGGATATTTTAATGGGATTTTTTAAGATTTGGATTTTTTTTGGATTTTATAATTTTTGGATTTTTTAATTTTTGGATATTTTAATTTTTGGAAATTTGAATTTTTGAAATTTTTAATATTTGGATATTTTAAAGGGATTTTTTAAGTTTAGGATTATTTAATTTGGATTTTTTAATTTTTGGATTTTTTAATGGGTTTTAATGGAATTTTTTAATTTTTGGATTTTAAAATTTGAGTTTTAATTTTTGGATTTTTTAAATTTTGGATTTTTGAATTTTTTAATTGTTGGTTTTTAATTTTTGAATTTTATAAAGGGGATTTTAATTTTTGGATATTTTATTGGTTTTTAATTTTTTGATATTTTAATTTTTGGAATTTTTAATGGTTTTTAATGGTATTTTTTAATTTTTGAATATTTTAAAATTTGGAATTTTTAATATGTATTTGGATTTTTTAATTTTTGGATTTTTTAATGGGTTTGTAATGGGATTTTTTAAATTTTGGATTTTTTAAACTGGAATTTTTAAATTTAGGAATTTTTAGAATTTGGATTTTTTAATTTTTGGATTTAATTGTTGGATTTTTTAAAATTTGGAATTTTTAATTTTTGGATTTTATAAATTTTGGATTTTTTAATTTTTGGATTTTTAAAGGGGATTTTTTAATTTTTGGATTTTTTAATGGGTTTTTAATGGGATTTTTTAAGTTTTGGATTTTTTAAAATTTGGAATTTTAAAATTTTGGATAAATAAATAAGTAATCCGAAAATTAAAAATTCTAAATCCAAAAAACTACTACTGTTACTACTACCACTACTACTACTAACCACTACAATATCAGCCTAGCAGACTAACTCAAACTAAAAATACAATAGAAATTGAAATGACGCTTTCTGAAATATGTCTGGAAAAGTCGTTTCTATTTTTTCTTTCAAGTATTATGAAATTGTTACCACACCTATCACACTGTTCAACAATTTGTTTATTAAAAATTATTCACAAATGAGTCACAGAAGTAGACAATCATTGGTTATTATGTCTTGTCAAAATGTACTATATACGTGTAATTAAAATTCGTAAGTGGTTCAAATTATGATAAATAAAAATAGGCCACTTAATTTAAATAAGCGAACTAAATTTCTTTGTCTTTCTCAGAAAACAATTGTCAACTAATATGGCCGATCTAATTACCTCAAAACCCCTAAAATACTGTTATGTAATTGTTTCCGGAGACGACTATTAACTTACATAATTTGTCAAATTCTCCGAAAAAAAAGGCACCGTCATTGTTTGCGGATAGCACCGGAGACGATGTTAACGACTTGGAATAAATTACAGAGGATATATTTCTTGTTCTTCTTCGGGAATTGTTTACAGACCAAACGTAATCCTCGCACAATTAACATTCAAGGTCTCTAATTGTTATAACCATCGTAATAGTCTACCAGGGGCTAATTGTTCTGTTTGTAGTTAGTTCAATGGCAAATTACGCCGGTGCCGGCATGTCACATGTTTTTATGGTCGGTCGAATTTTTTATCTTCTGAATGAAATATGCGAGATGATTTGATAGCGTAATATGTTGTAAACACTATAACCTATGCATTACATAAATTTTAATAATAATTTGTTACTATACGAGGTTGTGAAGGGAATATCTTATTGGGCTAATGAAGCATATTTGACTAAGGTGGATTTTTGTTTACACAAGCAACTTTTCAATACTTTTAGACAAATATAACTTACATGTCAGTTCTTACTTCTTATTCACATAAAAATGTTACGTCGTTAAGTAATTCCCACAGTTTGGAATGGAAATTGAGAAAATTATAGAGTTCTGGACTATGTGGAAAGTCCAGTTGATATTTACATAACTATAAGAAAAGGAAGTGCATAGGTTCTAGTGAGTAATTTTCACAAGACCGCTGAGGAAACAAAAGCAATTATTTTGTTATAATTGTTGTAGTATTAGGTTGCGTAAGAGTGCATTAAATTGTAATTATTAACAGAATAATTACCTTTGTTCCACCAAAATTAAGCAAGTGTCCAGCTGAATTGGTAACACCACTTTTTTATGAGGTACTTTTTGTGCAATTGCTGCCACTGAAATAGGGGTAATTTTTTGGGTTACGAATATAATATTTAAAAGTTTACAGCACTCTATTTTGCCCTAATAATTTTAAGAAAACTTTAAACACTTTCCAGAAGACATGATCAAAACTGATACAAACCTAGTGATACTTTATGCTCTAATTAATTCACTGTTGTCGATGATTTCTGTTGTCATTTTTTAATTTTATACGTTAATAAGTTTTCATCATATGGTTAATATAGTTCGTGGGAAAGTTTACATTGACAAACGCCTTACTTATTTAATTTCATAATTGAGTAATTACCGACTTGATTGACTTAAATGGTTTAAGTGCTTTGTTAACTAAATAAATAGATATAATTAGATTTAGTCTATTTGTTGTGCAGAGGTATATTAGTTATACTTCTGTACGTATGTGTCTTCATATGTTGGCGTGTGATATACATGAAAAAATTAGCATTTACTTTTCCAGAATGAATAAATTATTGTATTAAATCGAAATACTCACTAGTACGTTATTAATTTGATTGAAGTTATATAATTTGAATAATAATAGATCAAGGATGAATAATAATAGACCAAGGATGTAAGAGAACGAAAAGTAGAATAATTGTAATATAAAATACCTCCAATTGTACCGTGTTTCTGTTCATCCTTCAATTTGTTTATGTCTGGGACATTGCCTATAAGTTTTCTATATTAAATTGAATTTCAAGAATGGTGTAACGTTACAAGTCTACTTATACTACTACTTATAAATAAATAGTGAATCATATCTGGTTTATTTAACGTTAAAAGTATTTATGTTTTATTGCCTCTTTATTTTTCCTCATATTTCTTTAGACAGTTTCGATATAAATCGGAGTTTAGTAGTGTCCCAAATTCTTTTCTGTTGGCATTGACAGACAAAAATAACGGTCTTTTCTCGGGTGGATCTGTTGCACAATACAAACATCTAGGATTATATAGGAGCGTTTTATAGTAAACTTACTATAATTTTTATTTCCCTAAACGATATTGTCCAAGTCACTGATTACTTTTATCTTTTCTACGGAAAATCCACCATATGTGTTGCTGTCTTCTATATTTACTCCTGCAGTTGTTAAATATGGCGCCGACTGATGCGGGTAAAAATAGAACGGTTTTGGCGAGGTTCACTTGTAAAATTACATACATTATCTCATCTTTTAATTTGTTTGTTTTAAGAAAGTAATTAAATAATGTAGAGATTTTTTTAAAGCCACTCCTATGCTATTAGCCATTTTCATCGTAGTAGTTGCCAAGAATATACAAACAAGTAATCTCACTATAACTCTACCTGTTTGATGTATATTCTTGAACCACCATTGACGGCAGTAAACTAATTCCTGTTGTTTCTTGTTGCAGACTGTAAGCAGTCGACCAAGGACCTGGTCGTCGTACTCAAACATTCGTGCCAAAGATGTTCAGGACCTGATAAACATGAACAGTACCGAAGAGATAACGATATACAAGGACCCGAACGATCTCTACCAATCTCCGACGCTAACGAGGCGAACCCTAGGTTATAGTTACGATTTTCCTGAGAAATCACAAAAGAAAGATAAGAAATGGTCCATAGGCAGCATATTTCGCAGAAAGAAAAAGGACGATAGTGACAGTAGCAGCGAGGAGGATACCCATAAGAGGGGATTTCTCGGTAGGAGGAAAAAGAAGGCGGAGACTAAAAGGAAAAAACCGGTCAAGACTATCGGTACTTTTGATCACGTGGTAATACCTCCTCCAAGGAATTCCCAGGTTTACAATGGGTATAATGTCCAGGAAGACCTCGGTATTCTTTCAGATCCAACAGGTGGCTTTTCTAACTACATCGGAAGAGCTTTACCACAAATCCCTTCCACGGACACTAACCAGAAGTTTAGCAAGGAATCAATAAGCGATAATAATTCTAAACTAAGCGGCGGGTCGGGGTCTGTCGATAGCGTAAGAAAAAGCAGGAGAGAAATGGCTAAAGCCAGAGCTGAGGCCCGAAGGAAAAACGGCAGCAGCTCGGATGAGGACTCTCAAATATCTAATTCTTCATTGAAGATCCGCAGCGAGGAAAATTTAAGACAGCGAGATATTTCGATGAGTAAGAAATCGAGGGCTGCCAGGACCGAGAGGTATATGAAACGGCATTCAAGAGACGGAGAAAATCCTCACAATTACCTGAGACTGTCGAAATCTGATGTAGAAAATTCAGCGATGAATTGGAAGTTATCCGATGATAGCAACAGGTCTCCAAGTAGAAGTCCTCTCGTTCCGAGCCCCATAATACCTATGAATGCCAAAAATAAACTATCATACACCAGTCTAAACTCGCAAAGCACTAATATGTCTGGTTTGTCGACCATACCGCCAAGTCACGGTAACCACAAGTATAGAGTTAGTAATTCCACCAGCAATCCTTCCTATCGACCTCCCCAATCAATGAACGATTACAATAACGGCTCGAAAAAATTCACGGACGTAAACTTGGATAAATATTTCAACAATCAGCGTAGTATGTCGTACGACGCTAACATACACAAGGCACCGTCGTCCGAGTTCAGCGAAGATGTCCTTCATGTACAGTTCCCTATCACGAGACCCAACAGGGGCTACAGAAATTTAAGTTTAATAGATGCCTCTCAGATAAACAGGGCTAGGCAACCTCCGCCTCCACCACCACGTGACCCTAACAGGATGAGAGGCCACTGTTTCGAAAACGGAAGGCCAAACACTTACTACTTTGACAGCAGTGGCCAAGTAAAATCCAGGTCTTTCAGCGGAACTACGCCTCATCCTATGATGCAGCAAACTAAAAAATTTAGTTCGTTTAACCTCCACCCGAATTTGAGATCAACATCGGAGGACTGTCTGCCTAAAGAACCGCTGAACATTCAACTGACAATCAGACCTTCATCAACGACTCCCGACGTGGAAAAGTCTCAGCGTTTCGCCACCAGAAGACGAGAAATCAAAACCAACCCGGAAGGATTCAGTTACTTGACTGATAAGAATCCTAGAAGTCGCAAACCGATTTTCATCCAAACCGGAAATAAATCGCCAAATACGAACGAGGAAAAATCCGCAGAAAACAACGGCAGTCAAAAAGCTTTAGATTTTTGGAAACAGATCGATAAGCAGAATGCCAGTCTCAACGGCAAATCGGTTTTAAAGAAGGCTCGGTCTAATAGCCCTCAAATGTTCACGAGTCATACACACGTTCAGACAAAAGTCTTCCTTCCTAGCGTTCTCCAGAACGACATGAACAATTCTAATAACAACAAAATGCTAGACATTAGCCGCGGTCCGAGTCCTTTTAAACCGGTTTCACCTACTGTTCAAGAACCTCCACCGGAAATCTCGGAGAGAGTTAGTAAGGAAGAGATAAAACGGAAATCCGCTAATTTGGAAGAAGCTCTAGATGAGTTAGAGGCGATTTATAACAGTTTGAGACTTGGCGACGAGGACTTGCTCGAACGAGCAGAGCAACGCGAGAAAGAAACTCAAGCCCAGAAGCTTTTAGAGGCAAATATCGACCCTTACCCAGGTTACGGAGGTCGTGGGACTTTAAGCGATTCCAGCTTCAGCTACGAGCCTTTCGATACTGTAGACTCGCCGAGGCGCAAGAGAATGTTCAGGAAAAATCGAACAGCAGACATAAAACACGATGATATGGCATTTAGAAAGATACATAAAGATCGCGCGACGACTATAAACGATCCACAGTCTGTCATTTCTAAGGTTAGCTATTTACTAGCCTCTCCAGTCCATGGAAAAAGTTTGGAAGATGAAGAAGTCGAAACTCACGCTGACGGAGACGAACCTGATATTACCTTCGACGATGTAGTTTATAGGAACGTCAAATACGCCAACAAAACACCAAAAGTTATAGAGCCTCAACCGCCTTTTGGTATACCCTTGGGACCAATCACCCCGGCAGCTAACAGTGACTATCTTCACGCCACACCCGAAGACATATACAGACCAATATTTAAGTCTCGTAAAATTCCCGATATTGTAAAAGACGATCTAGCTTTTCGAAATCTGAGAAAAGATACCAATAAAGGACCCGCTCTACCTCCCCTGTCTACAGATGATTTCCGGAATAATAATTCCGCCATAGAAAATAACAGACTGGATTTGAATTATTTAAAGAAAAAAAGGGCACAACGTTCCTTATCGGCTAACATAGGGTCTTTGATCCACGAAGAGATGATGGAAAAAGCGCGGAACAAACGCGCACAAGCCAGCAATGACGTTGAAAATGAGTTTAAGACACTGACAGACATTGCTGACGCCATGGAAATTGCTAGAAAAGTTCTAAGAGAAAAAGAAAATAAAATATCGGCAACAAGGAAAGCTTTCATGAGCGACACGGACACTAAGTATGTTCAGCCAATTTCCAGCAGTAATAGTCTGAGAGAAAGCAGACTGAACTTAAATGGTTTGAAGACCGCCCCTACAAATTCCTCAAATGCCAAACCAACCTCACCTTTACTTGGAGACGACATTTTGTCTAGTAAACCTCCTAGAGGTCTAACTCCTGAGAGGAAAGCTAGATCTCCCAAAGAATCCACTCCAATACCACTCTCTCCTTTAGAAGATAAAAAATCCATCGTTAGTGGATCTACTTCGTCTTCTCTGGAAGACCTTTTGAACGCTTTAGCGGAAGAGGCCAAAGAAACTACCGAAAGAATAACAAACGAGTTGAAGATGCTCGGGGAGGAGAAACAAAACAGAACTAGTTTGAGAAGAGTGAACAATGTCGAAGATAAAGAAGAAAAATCCGGCGATTTGGATAAAAGATTATCTGATATCGATGCTGTTTCGGAACATGCAAAGATGTGCGAGAAGTTATTGGAGTCCGTGGTAGACAGTAATGAGCTCGTGACTTCTACCAAAACTCCCGAAGAGGAAGTTAGACAGATCGAAGTGAAACCAGCTACGGTAGAATCTGCCAATATAGTGTTATCGAGGGTTGGTTCTAAAGAAGAGGGACACCAAGAAAAGGAAGGAAAGGTCGATTCTGAGCCTGATTATGAAAACTTGATGTCCGACAAAGAACTTAATATCGATGAAGTAGATATAGCAAACTCATTGGAGGAATCTAACGAAGCTGAAAAATGTAACTCGCCATTTGAACAGCAAAAGGCAGAATTAGCGGCTAGTGTTCAAGAACTTAAGCAAAACATTGGAGGCATAGATTTACCATTAAAGAAAAAAATCAAAAAACAAGGCGACGAGACCAAATGTGTAGATGACGAGGAGAAAGGGAAGTTGCCTAATTCAAATTTCGACGATCTCGAAACAGGTGTAACAGGCAGCGATGAAACTAACGGGGTTACAGGTGAGGAGGAGTGTGTTGGTGTTCTAGACAGTGTAGCTTTGGCAGTCAAAGAATGTGCCTCCATAACACCGTCCAACATTAACACTAACACTGTAGATAACGGTAGAATCTTCATTTCTAACTGTGATATTATTTTAAATAAGCCTAATCAATCGCGTACGGTATTCGAAGACTCTCGAGAAGACTCGGAAAATAGTTCAGGTTTTCACTCTAATTGCTCTTGTGGCGAGAGCTCACATTACTTGAAATCCAATCACTTAGCGGACGGCTTTAGTTCGAATAACAATTTAGACTCTCTGGAAAGTTTGAAGTCGCCAAAGTTAGTTCTGGAAACTTCACACAAGGTGCTTTCTTGCGAGAAAAGCGATATTAAAGTAAACAAACCGGGAGTCGCAGCCGAAAATAGCGAAAGGGGTCGCAGTTTGCCTCGAAGTTCCAGATTGGTTTTAGAAGCCGCTCAAACGTCTAATACCGATTCGATTCGAGGGGAAAAATTAGAAGCGCGCGGGTCATGTTCGCGGAGCTTATTAAGCGATCGTGATAGAAACACACAATCTAGGGGGACGGATGACCCCGATGGGCACATTCTTGACGACGTTGAGAAGCCAACCCCTACCTGGTACCGTGACCCCGCCACCATGGCCCTTGCATGCTCCTACGGCATTGCATGCGCCCATCAACTGGCTTCAGTAGATATATTCGCTATTTTAAGCATCCTCCTTGCTATTATTTCATTCATCGCGGCAATGTTTTTTTAATGCTAAAATTATCCCGTAATTTTTCGCATTTACACGGTGGTACGTCCGTAATTCCAATTTGCATAAATAATCCGGGACCATTTTAATTCTGCCCAAATGATTTATTTGCAGTAAGCAGAGAACAATCACTTAGGAAAACACAAGATTGAATCGTATAAAAAAACTGATTGTCGTAAAAGTAAACAAACAAAAGATTTAAATAAAACTCAAATTATAGTGACTAATATACTCGTAGTTTAGTTGTTAAATGATTAGTTCAATTTGAATTTAAGACGTACTACCTCTTTTTGTGTTTGTTTTTTTAGTTTTGATATTTTTATGGTGATTTTTGTGTGATTCACTCACTTTGTAAATGGTTTGTAAATAAAATCCAAACAGATTTAATGCCAAATAGTAATTGTAAGGGAACATGATTCTGCTGTATCGAATGTATATTGTAAATGTATTTTATTTATTTTTGAATAAATCATCTGGTATATAGTTTTAGAAACACTCATTTAAAACATTATAATATGTGAATAACATAAACACCCGTACTTATACGCATCATGCAACGTCGACATCAATATTTTTAATTTTTAGACCATAACCGCACACGAAAAAAAAAATTAAAGGTACATCACATGTAGATCATATCTACGCCAATGCTAACTTTCATATATTTTTTGTTTTCATAGTTTTATGGAAAGTTTTGTTTGAATAAAGAAGCATATTACGGTACAAATATGCGTAGAAGCTAAAAAAAATGTCTGAAAAACAGGACAGTTGCCATGCATAGCACGTAAAAAAAAAATATTCGTAAATTCATTATATTTCATTGATAAAATATTGTCATCGAAGTAACGTGCAGTCCGTACGATATTTGTCGAGAGAGAATTCCAAGACAACCCCTGCGTCACTTTCTTGGAATTAACCGCATTCGACACCGTACGCAGACGCAAGACATTGACGGAAAGTTTCAAGGCACGCCCTTGCTCCGGTAAATTGTTACAGTAGTTCCGATAACAGAACTTTATTGGCTTATTTGTCTCTTGGAATTCTAGCTCAACAAATATTGTACCGTATGTTAATGAAATCTCATTATTTTGAGAAAGTAATTTCCTTATTATCTAGGTTATACTGAAACGATCCCTATCGTTGTGCTGACCTCATTTCTTGTATTTTAATATGAACACGTACAGACAACTTTTATGATAATTATAATCCAAGACAGTCATTATTATCACGACGATTTTTAGTATCCATTTGAGTACTGGTTTTTTGTGCCGGATATGTTTAAGTGTAGTGTATTTAACAATAATTTTCAGTCTTTATTGAAACTGCATGAAATTTAAATATTTTTTTGAAATCTTACACTTATAAGTGTAACATATTTAACTACAAATACTGTAAAGAGAAAATTAAATGAACAGCTTCACTTTAAACATTCAGGTGCGCAATGTTCTAATATTAGTGTCACACTAATAGTGTGTTTATTCTAAAATAGTCTCGCCCAATAATTAACCAAAGTCTTAAACGTTGGATAATTCGTGGCGAGTCAAATAAATATCATTTTGCTGATGCATCTGCAACAAACGACCGTTTTGTATTTCTTGGTTGGTTTGCCACCTATCAAAATTTCCAAATTAATTAAACAGTCTTGACTGAAACAAAGGAAGAATATAACAAGATGTTTTCCGAATGACAGATATGCCAAATAAGTTTTTTCCTGCTGCGACTGTTGAAGATTGATAATTAACCTCCGTTTTTTTTTCAACATTAAAAATGGCATGTTATGAAAAAATGTAACTAAGAAAGTTGCTGTTAAAAACTAGATCTTTTCCAAGGACTACGGTTTTTTTCTGGGCGCCATTTTCTTCACAAAACTAGAATATCTTCCCATAGCATGCCAGTTTTACATCAATAAAAGTGTCTACAGACAACAAATTTTTGGTATTAATGAAGGGTGGAGAGAGCCAGCAATACATTAACACGACTTCCCCAGCACAAGCATTTACTTTTATGTCAGCTTTGCACTTACCCACGTCAGTGTCAGTGTAGCTTCCGATTAGGATATCCACAGCATCATCAACTCGCTGCACCAAAACTAATCCGCATCCTCCTAATCCACGCCGACCTGTATGCATTGCCCCGTAGTTAATCCCCTTTTAGTGACGTCGTATGTTTGGTTGTAGGTAAACTGTAACGGCTGCCGCAACTTCTACTACCGCTCCCTCTATCGGCAACCGACTTCAGGTAACTGCCAACATCTCCGCCACAACTAACTACCATCCCTTCAAAAAATGAAGAGCATTTCAGCTGAAATTCGTGCTTTTGTAGAGCAACATGACTAAAGTTATCAATTGTAAGATACAACAATTAAAATCATATTTTAACTAACGATTAATTGCTGCTTTCAAAAAATACGTCGCAGTTGTATGTGTTATTAAGACTACTGATATTTTTAAACGTAATAAATTTGAAAAAAAAATAAATATGATGAAAGAAAAAGAACTGATAACTAGCAATCGATTGATACTGATATGTGTTATATTGGCAATAATGTTATGTGTTATGTGTGTAATCATAATTATTGACATTGACCACAGTTTTAGGGGGGTTTTAGGGTGTGCCACAGAAAGAGGCTATTTATTATTTAAACTGTTACAGTCGAGTAATAAATGCAATAAATACTAATGATAAATGAATAATTCGGCAGATCTGAAGACATCGATTGCAATGCCCTTGTATTCTGATGTCCTACAAACGTCAAAATTTGTGACCAAACATCATCTTTTAAATTATCTGATAGCATAAGTTATTACATCTCTACCAAAAGATATTAGTATTCTTCTATCTGTAAATACTTGCTTTTGCAATGCAATAGTATGAATTTCAGTTTGAACATCTCTTCATTTTACTGGCATTGATTATATCTTTACATGTAATTTAAATGTCAAACCATGTCTGATATTTTAAAATTCTAGTGCTAGTAGATTACTGTAAAAATATATAATGTATTATATATACACACCTATTTATCAAAAAAAAAATTAAGCTCCAAATGTATTTGTATTACCACAGTCTTCTTAATGTCATAAAATGATCTGTATTATAAAACTAATCAGCAGATATGTTTTGACAGATTTCTCATATTTTCCTATATGGTTCGTTCTTTTTTTTAACATTTTATAAAAGTATTCATAGAAATAATACATGTCTCCATTTTCTGCCAAGTTTCAGTATTGATTATACCCTCCAACCGTCAGTTGTGTATTGTTGGTTGTCTAGCCTACGTACCAAAGATACTCTTGTGTGTAACTTGAACATTGTAAATATTTTATCTTACTTTAGTATTTCCAAAAAAACAGATGTTAAACGTTCATCTCTCTATATTTATAGATAAGTCACTGTTGATCTATATATTATTTAAATAAAATATTTATTTCCTTATATGTGTTGTTATTTTCTCGGTATTCTGCCGGACATTATTAAATTTGAATTGTGTATTCTTCTAAATTCGTAAAATGTCAACCAAAACATGTGAAATGCAGTCACAGAACATGTTCGAGGTTCAAAACAAAATATACATTTCACTTCATTTTATGATGTTTTGTACATTCACATGCTTCCATACCTGTTCGTTCTATAAATAGTTTTCGATAACAATGTCATGTGTACTGTTTGCTAAGAAGCAGGTTTCTTCAAAAAAATCACAATCGCATTAACGACAAATGCCAACGACCGACCTTGCTTTATCCGCGTTATTAACAAAATTAACTAGAGAGGAGTTCATATGTGTACGTAATCACTTAATTTTAATTGGTTCATCCTTTTAATTAGGTAAATCTATTAATACGTACATTTTTTTTAAGAGATCATTTTTGATATACATACAATACCTTCAAAGTGATTTTTCGAAACATCATGTACAAAAGAACTCTCAAAAAAATGTCGGTCTAGTAAAATTCTTAAAGAATTACATTTTTTGGACTTTATACTTGGCTCTCGAGAGAAATTAAAATTTTCATTTACAATAATTATTACATGTGTTTCTTAGCCAGTCTTGTTTGGCGCACGAATTCTGTGTCGGTTAAATAAACTAAATGTCAAATGATAGCTAGTTGATTTGTAACTACAAAGGTATTCCAATTAATTTTTGTTTGTAACTTATTGTTTAAGACCTCCCATTAGTGTCCCTTTTAAATTATTAAGTTTTAATTAACCGAGATCGTTATTTGTTCGTGTTATTATACAAAAAGAATTAAGTAGCTCACCCAACTTTTGAGAGCAGCAAAGTCGTGAGGTACGTCCGTAATGAGCTTAGTTATTTTTCGACTGGATAACTTTCTTGGCCTCAAATGCTCTAAACCGTAAAATACAGAAATACATATTTATTCTTTAGATTTTACGAATTAAAACTGCATAGAATACCCTTATAATTATTCAATTATTTACAAATTGACTTAAGTATCTCTCCCGCATTTTTGGTCCTTCGAACCGGATCTCCAACAACTGCCATTACGCAAGATCAAAATTAACAACATACATAAACGAAGAAACGGAGAAAGGATTTGTTTATATTAATAAATATTCAAATATTTATTAATGATCCTATAGGATGACCAATTGATCTTCTATTACACTGTTTATCAATTTCTAACCAGCTGGCAGTCCTTGTGAAATTATCTCGCTTTTACATCAAAGAAACACTCGTGGAATTTTTATGGCACCTTAAATTAAAAATCATTTTAACTTTATCCTCTTGACTCGTCAGCATACTAAGGATATGTTTTGAATCATTCGCTAGTTCATTATAGTCGTCCAAGGCTAACGCGATTTTTTAAAATAAATAGAGCTTACTAAATTCAACACCTACAGTCGGTACGGAATTTCCTGGAATATACATAATATGGTAATAATTTAATATTTATTTTCCGTTGAATAAATATGTCACATTCTTTGAAAATTGTGTTTACAAGGGTTTTATTTCGCACTTACGAATGGGATAATTTAATTAACGATATGGGAAACAACTACTCTGATGGCTTTAGCTTCGTCCAGTTTTAAATAACTTCCGCAATATCTAGTAAATTTTGTTTGCTACATCATTAAACTTATTAGATGGCAATTATCAAGTAATTAATATACCATTATTGGAATTTTTGAGCACGGTAACCAACATTAGAAATTGTTTGATTTCCACTTTAACTACCGTAATTGTCCCGTCAAATGGTGTTGGTGTCACGTAGCATACCAACATTCAGAAATAAATGATGGGTATGAATGTATTTACAGGATGTTCCGTTCAAGAGGTCTTGTAGACCACAAAAAATATCTAAGTTCTGTAAAAAAAATTTCGAGATATTAGGCTAAAGAGTTTTGAATGTTATTGTACAATGATAGCTTTAAGCTTCAGTAATATGACTTGATTGCAAATCGACTACACCTGAGATTTCAGATAATCGCACTTAATTGAGCAACCAGAATTGAGAATAATTATGGCATAAGATAAATAAAACATATATGGCTACTACGTCTAACTAAAACCAGTCGCCACCCATGTACTTTGCTGAAAATCGCCATGTCGATAAAATCTCGCGAAGTGGGCCACGGATGCATTAATTATGAAATGAATTATGAAACTTACCGCTGACGAAATATATGTATAGCGTTTCTGTTGGAAACTCTGTAAATAAATGCATATATTTTCATATACGACGAACTACACGAACCATATGACAGTCGTTATATACGAACACATCATAAATCAAGAATTAATATAGCGCGCTGTAATTTCATTCACGAATTCATTCAATTAAAGCAAACTGTAAATACGTTTGGTACAGTGTGTTATTAATGAATATATTTATGATATGTAGGATATATGGAATATACCTACAAAAAAATTCATTGAATAATTTTACGCGTAAAAATATTGCTGCAAGTTCATAATAGTACTTTGAAATCTAAATGTCACCAAAGTTACATAACCTCTAAATATTTAAACGATGCCAAAATAAAAATAAACAATTCAGAATATAAGGTCATAAAAATACATGATATAGTTTAAAATTTTACTTAAGGAGGTACTTTAAGCATTTTTTTAATTAATGACATTGTGGAAAACAATTGCTCTGCGGACTACAGCACTGTCCATCATTTCAGGTCACATACATACTTTAGTATTATTACAATGCTTCAAGCTTAATTTAAAAATTAACTGTCGTTTTATATTCTCATCAAAACCTTGATGTGCCGATATTTTAAAAATAAAAACCAATTAGACCTGATGCTTTTGGTGCGGCAGTTTGATAAGTATCGATATTTGCAATTTTATTTCGTAATATAAAGATGCTAATCTGTAATGACCGACAGGTAACGCATAATGAGTTTTGGTCGTGTCTTAAGATATATCAAACGTGTTACATCAAAAGGCAGTTGTACCACTTAAAACCGGGTTCAGCGGTATCAAGTAGAGCTACACTCCTGCGCCGATAAAACTGATCTCTAAAAAGCTACTGCTTAAAAATCAATTGTGAAATACTTTGTAGAGTAAATTTAATATATACCGTGTTTCATGAAAGCAAGAACGTTTTTTTAAGCATTAAAATATTACAATTTAGCCAAACGTACCTACCCCATTCCAAAAGATACAAAACCAGCCAAAAACAGAAATCAAGGGAATTTAGATCGGGAAAACGTAGTGGTTCACTCATATCACTTCCCCAATAGACAACAGAAAAAAAATATTGCAAAAAAAAACAATAACTTGACATATTGACAGATTTTGTTCATACCTTTCACAACTTACTTGATATAAATGATTAAAAATAATAATAGGTGTAATAATATGTATAATAATATGTGTAATTTGTTAATGCAAATATCTCGAAAACGGTTAATGATATCAGTTTCCACAGGGTATGACAATTTACAGCAACGGGGTCCAAATTATTATCTTTTGCCCTAGTCTTGAGTAAAATCAATTTTATAAGTAAAGAGGCTCTCTATAAGAGAGTTAAAAAACATTTAAAATTTACATCCCCAAAAACCCTCTGATACAAAATTTGAAATCGATATTCAACTGTAACGTTATTAGAAATGCGTAAAAAAATATTTACTTCAACTCTGTGTGCCTCACTTTTGGACTGAAGTAAATTTGGCTAAATCAAATGTAATACTTTAATGATTCTTGCTTTGTGACCCTTTATTTTTGACGCATTTACAATTTTCTGAACTTGATTTGATGGTACCTGAAGCACTATTTATTTAGCTGCTAACTCCCTACTAAGGGAGATTATCCGCCAATAAAACGGCACGAAAAACACCGATAGGTATTCTAAGGCCATAAAACTTTAACAGGATCAAATGTTTATCCAAAGTAATGGATTTAATCAATGAAACCTGCCCCTTTCAACTTCTCAAACAGAATTGTCAATCGATGTAAATTAATATTTAATTTCCAGATGCCTATCTTCATGTCATTGATAAAATTAGAACAGAAAGATCTATCAGTAACGTAACTTCAGTAGACACATAAGAATTGCCTGACCGAAATATTTGTGATTAGTTAATTACGTTCAGTTATTTGCATTGTTCGTGGAGTATTTGTTAGTTGTAGTGTAGTACGTAATGTATTATCTAGTAAACAAGCGACTGTCGCGTGGGAAATTTAGAATTTATTACTATCCAGAATAGCGAGATTCATGCTTATTATTCAATTATTCAAATGAATCAAGAACTTAACTACATCGTTACCAAAACTGTAGGAAAACGGATATACTCTAATATAGTCAATTAGCGTAGAAGCTATATGTGTTGATTAGTTTGTTTTTTTCCAAACGAATTTCCCAGACATTTTCCCAAAAAGTTGCGTTTTTAAATATCTTTTGAATTAATGAAGATACTGAGACGAAATTTTGTATGTAGAACACAAGAAAAAATAACTAAATTTTAATACAGGCATATCATTTTGAACTATTTTTAAATTTTTGTATGAGATAATTTATTTACCTATCTAATTTTAAATTTAAACTAGACACAATATTTGGGTAAATATTTTGACCGTGTTTAAACATGGTATCTCCACAATTGTTAAAAAAGGTCATGCGAAAAGTCAAGAGATCGTTCCTGTTTAAAAGAAAATTGGCATTTAAAAAAATAACAAAAAATGTTTACCGAGATCACGTATTCATACTAGACTATTTTTATGGTACCAAAATAATAACAGCTGTTTAAGAGATGTGTGTTGTTTGTGTTTTTAAGATGATGCTTAAGAGATAACAAGACGGCGTTATCTTGGCTTGGCAAAAACTATTTTTTCCAGCATAATTTTTGAGTGTCTACCACAGATCTACGTCACTAGTTACAGTAGACTTCATTTCACGTTGAATTTTATTCATGAACTGTCACAATATTTCTTAGAGTTATACATATTTTTTAAAAACCAAGCAACCAACCGTCAAGACAAAAATATTCTTAAATTTGAACGAAAATTAAGCTCTTTTTGACATGTTTGTTACATCCTGTATGAATATCTACTTCATTTATCTACTAATCAGATCAGAATATGTCTAAAAGCCTAATAACTACATAAAAAAATATTCTGTAATACTCCCATTATAAATTTATCGCCGCCATCCTGTCATCATATTATATATTTATATTTTTGTGAAGATAAAAACCAAACAGTTTATAAATGCGATATAAATACCCAATAAAACGATTAAGATAATATCTGAACAATTACAATCATCTTTAGAATATATAACGGTCCGTAAATACGCTATTATCTTTTTATCTGCACATTCTGGATAACGTATATGAACAAGATTTGATAAATGGTATAGCGAAGCCAAAATTTGAGTACCTAATCTTTTAGCAAAGCAAAAGTAACGTCCCATTTTAATCTAATGAAAGCATCTCTTTCAACCGTAGGGTTTCTGAAAGCCGGATCGTAGTAGGTTCGGCCTTTGTCCTCTACCAAATTTGAAAATCGTATTTGCCCAGCCTCATAGTTGAACATATCAAAGAAGTAATAATATTGAGGAAAAAATGAGGATGGAGTGTTTTGTGGTGAGCTCGCTGAAATATGATCAGTTTTATCCAGACCTAAGTTTTGGACAAGACGAAAGGTTTACGCCTTTTTCAGATGCATTTCACAAATTTATGATTTTTTTGTCAGAAATATTTTTGACAAATTCTGAAATATACATAATGTATTTTGATACAAATGGCTCAACTGAAATATAATTTACATTTTCAACAACTATAAGTGAACCGAAGAACGTTTTCTAAAATAAAATGAACTAATTATGAATAAAAGTGGGTCGATAATAGAATCCGGAGACACTCCAGATTTCTTCAAGAATGTTATAGATTTGAACAAATTGGTATCGGTTTTGTGATGATTTGTGATCATATAATTTTTAGGAAATTTTTCTATAAGGGGTAGGGTTTTTTATGAGGGGTAGGTCTTCCATAAGGGTTTTTTGGGTGGCTTAAAAGTTGCAATATATCATAGATCATTTGAAAACCAATAAAAAGTTTATAATTCAACATATGCATACCATTAAAACATCTCGAGCTTTCAATAATATTTTATTTTATTATTAGGGATGGTTTTTAAGGGTTGCAACTTTGTAATGAGTCGTAAGCTTTCTAATGAATAACAAAGGAAATGCAATACACTGTGAATACACCGAAAGAACATTTTAAACTGTTAACAACTTTTTATTTTCTATTATTTTTGGCCATGAAAGGTTAGTTTTTAAGGATTTGTAAGGGTTGAAAAGTAATTAAATTTCATAAATTATATTAAAAAACATGAAAGGAACTTTATCCAACATATTTGAACATGAATTGAATCTTTAAAATACGTAAATATGCGATTTTCGCATTTTTTTTTCGTACAAGGGTATTTTTCACCCCCAAATAGAAAAAAGCACACATCTAGAGAATATAACTTTTGCAGTGGGGATCAGATGAGCTCATATGCAAATTTTCAGGAAAATCCATGCTATCCGAAAAAATTGGGAGCTTTTACTTTATTTTCGCCTTCAGCGACTGGACTACTAGCGCTGGAGATCGATAGACTAACAAACGGATTCCATACCGGACTTTTTTTTACACTACTTTAAATACCAGACAACACCGGACCTTCTCCTTCCTCCGCCTTCCGACTTCTTTCACCTGCCAACCTTTCGCACACGCATTCTTGTCCCATTCATCCTTCCCTCGCCGGATCGGACTTGGTGAGTCACGGCGCATGCAGCGGGCAAAGCCTACTCCGAACCGCTGGCCGGCCAAAGCTACAGGTTGGAGTCGTGGAGGTTGGTCCGTGTCATTCCGCGCGTGATACTGCTTGCGTTCGAGCACACAGCATCGCACCCTCAGCTCCCAGGACAACGCGTCAGGACGACATCCTTGGCGTACGCCGGGTTCTCGTGACCCGCATTTGTTGTTGCAGAACGGGCGACGCGTCTACCCCGTCTGGATTGTTTGTGGTGGTTATCCGTTTGTTTGTATTGTTATAGTGGGTGTTTGTTTACCGGGGGGCGGTGGTAACATTCGTTTGCTGGTTCTGTGGCACCGTCAACGGGTTTGTGTCGCATATCGACAAAGAGAAGCGAGTTATGTTGATGTAAGTTCATTTTCTGATGTAGAACACCCCAGTTTCGCCGTAGCCTTTATAGTTTCACTGTTATTTAGAATTTTGTTTGTTAGAAAAACATAAGTTATGACTGTTTTAGTGAAAAGTGATTAATTAAACTAATATAAGAGTTTGTTCCATCTAGTTTCCTAGAAATTGTGACGACATGACTAAACAATCAACTTACAAATATTTATATTTGACAGATAATGATAAATGTGAACAACAAAATTACAGGTTGTTATTATGACTCATTTCATATACCAGGTGTCCAGAATGGAAGTAACCACACTTCAAGGGTAGTCTCCTTGGGTGAAAGTAAACATTAAAATCCATTTTGATCAAGACAAGATCAAGATTTTGATCATTTTAGAGATATACAAGTATACTTTTTTATAATCAAGTGGTTTTTCAGTAAACACCTGCATTTTTTCAAAATCTGTGCCAGCAAAACAATATGGCAAGTAACAAAGTAGGGTTTAAGGTAGCAACGTTTATAATTTAGGTAAAAAATGTTATAGGTATAGAGAGAAACATATTTAAAAGTGACCGGATTGCCTTGTAAAAAAATAGTTAAAATGTATTTTTTTAAATAAGCAAAACTGTACTTACGACACTATCTAAATTGGTTTATTTTCATCTAAATAAGCTACATAAACATGAAACATAACAATTTCATTTTTGAATATAGGGTATATTTCGAATGTTTTTTTGCATATTTACGAGAAAATTGTATCCAACTTCAATAGGAGTTTATAAAGAAATTTTTTTATTTTTTGGAAATAATTTTAATAGTTTCCTTAGCGATTAAATATCCAGTAAACAAAATATATTTACGTTATGTCCAAAATACGATTTTTATAACAACTATATGAAATAATTTTACTCTTTTCAAGTTCAAACATTTATTTTTGCTTTTTGCCCATAAAAATTAAAAAAAAATAGATTTGCCGCTTTGCGAGAATATAAATGTGCTGCTCAGCTATTTTATTGAAATATTCAGGTACTAAATATGAGGTAACATTTGGAAATATCCATTACCTGGTTGATCTCAGTCTGACTCCAATTTCGAAACTTTTTCTTAGACTAATCAAAATATTTATGTGATGACTTGTACAATTGTATATTAGTTGTGTTATATAATGTGTTCAATATGCCAAATGATGTGCTAATTGAATTTATATACATACTTTTTAGCTTATTTTTGCCGCAGCAACTGTATTTTGGTAGCTTACTCATTCTTTTTGTATACAAAATGCAGTTCGTCTCTTTGTGTTCTAACAATACGCCACTTACCTGTATAACCTTGAAATACTGACCTACGATAAATCCTACCCGTACACTATTGTGAATTGCAACACCTTCGGTTCTAGTTCTACGAACCTCTTTTGTTTCAGGTAATTACCTCCCGGAGATTGTAAAATTTGACTTTTATTTGAACACATTTTTGCAGTTGGCAGAAGTGTACAACGTGTACATATTTACAGGAATACAAACCATTAACATAAGTAGAACAAAACGAGACCTTAAAAAATTTGTAGCTGAATTTCAGTCATCTGTACAGGCAATCAAAAAAGAGTCTATTCTCAAAATGTTTACGGTACGTTCGCGATCAGCTCGCGAACAATTCGCGAGCAGTTACACGCCGACGTTTAGGAAAGAAGCCTTTGTGTAACTCTAAAGACGACATCACATTGTCTTTTAAACTGAATCGAAATGTTTAATTACAATTTTTATAAACAATGAAAGTTGTTGTGATTCCAGCTGTTGTATCAAGGTCGGCTACCGCTAACAATGACTGTAGCCAAATACTAATAAAAAAGCAATAGTTCTACTTGCAGACGGTAATGAGCAAATTCGAATTCTTGACAAATTGATTAGAGATAGCAGTAATTAATCAAGAGTCCATTAGTAGGCAATTAGCTGTTGGAAAATATTTACTTTGAAGAGCTTGGGCAATTAATAAATTATCAGTTTTTTGTTTGTAGAGCCCTTACGTCTATATTTAGCGTATCTCCAATTTGATATGGAGCAAAAATTGTTATCTCGACATCCGATTCGATCTAGTCTAGTTTTCCAATGATATAAAAAACGAATGCTTCCAAGCATGTCAAAATTTTGTGGTGTGAATATATACAGTGAAAAATAAGAATTTTTTGTCTTATGAACTATATGTCTATCTCCTCTACTTTTAGAGATACAAAGCGACAAAATAAAATTTTTTAAATAGAATTTTTACGAAAATTTCCAAACGGTGCGAAATATTTTTATAAAATTTATTATTCCGGGGTTTTTAAAGACGCCAAATACGCTGGTCTAATTATTTTTTGGATATTTCATAGTGGGAGCTAGTTATGCTACATTCCTATTACATTTTAGGTTATAATTTTTTTGAGGTTAGGTTTTTTCCCATTCGGGCTCCAATTTCAGATGTACAATTTTATTTTCTAAAAATAATGTACTATTGTTACAACTTCCTAATGTGGACGGTTTTCGAGAAAAAATGCTTTTAATTGAACTCTTACAATATTACGGTGAAGAAAATAAGTGACTTCTCAAAGTAGGCTTATGTCAAAACTAATTGAAGGATGTCTCATAAACAACGCATACATTCTCAGTAATATTTTAAACTCTAATTAACTTTATTAAGTTTTGTCTTGAAGCGCGATTTGAGCATTCCCTAAATATGTTGCGAAACAACTTTAATTGCGAAATTTCGTTCGACGGCCTTTCATCCTTGCCAGTTGCCAGCCTACTATGTAATTATAGGTGTATGGTCCGTGGTCCGATGAAACCAGCTGGCGGCTTTCGAATTAAATAACAGTTAGCCACTCGAGAATGCCTCCGGTATTCGATGTAAATAAATTTAATGCAGATTTAACACGTAAAACTCAAATTCCCGCGATTATACGAGAGGCCACGAACATGTTCGAGAGTCACTGTTTCGCTTGTAAAAACAGCGACAAGAGTCAGTTTCAAAATTCTGCACGTGGTAATCTCTAGTCGGACATATTTTTTAGCACCCTGTATGTTAGTTAGGTATTAACGTGAATGCCGAGGAAATTTATAAAAAAAAAAAATTAGAAAATCATTTTTCAAAACAAGTGAAAGTGTCCTTTCCATTTTTGAAGATTGCGCAATGTTTATTTGGTACGTTTATATTTGTTAAATTGTTCAACAGGTTAAAATAACTGTTAAGTTAGGCTTCCAACAGCGTGGGTTGCTTATTTTTACTTTCCAAGTCATTGCAATTGTATTCTACAATTTAATACTAATGTTTTTTCTTTAATAAAATAATATTTTGATGTCGTTTAAAATTAGACCACGCGTGTATTTGGAATCAAATCCTATATAAAGAGTGTCATACACTGTGAAGCACTAGGGAATATTGCTCTGCTTTTAAACCGGAATATCGAAGTATGGCCATTATACAGTGTAGGAAAGTTCCGATGGTCTATCAGAAGTTACGTGAGAGCGATAAAGTAAGCCATAGAAATCCATGTGATAGACAAGGATGGCTATAATGAAGGCGTCGAATAGTCAACGCCCATTTCGCCCTTCCACAAATAAGAAGTGGATCTTATTTGTACCCTGTATGTACAACTATTATTGGCGGCTAGCAGTTGAAAACACTTGACATTCTCCTTCAGATATTTACATTTCATAATCATTACCACAACAAATACGTTCACATATGTTACCTTGCCTGTTAATTTATTGAATCGTATATCTTGCAGAATACATTTATGGCTATTTTTAAAACTTATTAAACGCATTGGCTGTTCTCTTTATTAGCTAATGACTATGTTTAGCTGCTTATTAATTAAATGTTAATTGTGATATTGCATAAACCATTATAAGAACCCGTTAGTACATGTAGTTGCCATTAAAATTTGTTTAAAAATTATACACTCTGTATAGTATCAATATCTGAACTTCCAGTTTACTTACACATGAAAACGTACAATTTACATATTTCAATTTACAGTATTGAATAATGAAGACAATAAAAACCGTAATATTACTTTAGATATCTAATAAAAACCGTAATATTACTTTAGATATCTATAGAAATAGAACATATTATTTATCTTTCGTTCGAGCGTCATTCTTGATGATAAAGAATATCAGGTTTCCGGTACATATATATATTTAACTTACATATGCCAGAATAAAACGTGTTAACTTTTATTTATCTGTTCATTCGAACTTAATAAAAAAAAACAAATTTATCGAAATGTTCTGAGTAACATGATTGTCTCAATATGTCAACTAATTTCTGAAATTCGATACTAATACTTGCGGTTTTTTATTCTATTATAAACAAATTCAAAAATAATTCTAAAAAAATCTTATCATATGTAGTCAAGCAATGTTCACTGATATCAGAAATCTAGGTACCTATGCAAAAGATATCTAAACTCCAAAACTAGACTGATATTGCTGATTGTTCACATGCTCTATAGTAAAGCAGAAAATCTGGAAAATCTCATAAACGAAAAGAAGGAGTAATCGTCAATTTAAGAGAATTATCGCAAAATAATGTTACAAATAGATAATTTCGGACAATATCTTAATCACATCACACTCGAATAATATACAACGCGATATTTGAACTCACACTTCTGTTCACCTCAAACATATCAACCTAGATGTCAAAACAGGTCAATAAAAAAGTCAAATCCATCACCTAAATTGAAACATTTATTTTCAAAATCGTAAAAAGTGAAAAACACTTCCTGCAAATAAAACGAAAATTAACCTTAACTTTTTTCCAAGAACGCCAGGTTTTGACTTAACAGCTTTATTAGTAATAATACTGACGTCATTTTTTAACAAATAACCGTGAACATTTTTTTTTAAGCATCGGTTCTTAGAACCTTGCGCTGTATTGATCGACAACTAATATACTTGGTTATTTACTATATGAAAAAGATAGGTGAACAATATCAAGGGAATCAACAAAAGGCTTAGCTTAAGGTCAATAGAGG